TTTCTCAGCACCAAATACTCTTGTCATGGAAGTTTTGCCAGAGCGAGGGCTTAATAATAGAGAAATGGATGCCTTGGCCCAGTACGCTCCTTCCCATCCCACACAAAAAAGAGAAGGAACAGTACAGCGTGTTCTGGACCCACAGCAAGCCTGTGCTGGTGTAAATCAGCCTTCGCCCCCATCAGAGGGCCAGATCCTTGGCTGGGACCAAGAGGGATGAAGTCAGTGCAGGCTGCTGAGCTTACAGCACCAGGAGCATCTCCTGCTGAGGGCTGGGCAATGGCAGCGTCAGAGGCTGTTTTGGAAGCTGCTAATCAGTAGATCCAAAAATCCAATAGAGTCCTTGTGGTAATTAAGAGAGGAAGATAACCACGTATGTGTGTGAGCAAGAGAGAGGAGGGAGGGATGGGGACATCTTGGTGTTGGTGCAGGTTGAATGCTGTTCCTTCGTGCTTGGGCTGGGGTGAGGTCGAGCAGGGTGTAGCAAGGTCTTGGGTCACTAAAAATGAAACAAGCCCACCTTTGTACTTCTCTCCGGTATGCAGGTAGTGGCTGCCAGCTCCCTGCTTCCTGGGTGATCTAGGTTATTAAAAATGCGATAAGAATCGAGTCAGGGAGCGAGGTTCTGCGCACACAAATGGGATGCAGAACAATATCGCCAGCTAAATCGATAAAGCTGGAAGGAGCTCAATAGCTGATGCAGAGCGTTGAATAGCAAACCGGCCGGCTCACCGCTGCGGGGTGAGCAATTACCAGGAGCCACTCGCTGAAGTGCGACCGCGGCGTGGCAGCGCAGGGGAGTCTCGAGGGTTCGCAGCTTCACACTTCAAAAACATTTGCTTTTCGGGCAGCCTGTTACGACACTAATAATACCTTGCTTGGCCGGCCCTTTCCATGCAGAAGTCTCCGGACTGGGAAGGGAGAGTGTGATCCATGGCATTGAGACCAGTAGTGAGGGAAGACCTGGACATCATTTGTGGAGTCCACTTTAGTCCGGGAGTGGATCACTTGCATGCAGATATGGGGTGGATACTTCATTAATTATATGCTTAATACAAATGCTGGCTTTGATACTTTGCGTTGTAAAGCAAGTTGTTAGTCCAACATGAATCATGCTGTCAGTTTATTAATTGTTTGCCGTTTTATTTGCTCTGTGCCTCAATTTACCCCTCTGTATTGTGGGCACCGTAATTTCCTGGCAGGACAGCAGTGATTTAGTACGTCCCCCTGGCGCTGTGCTGTGACAACGTGAGGAGCAGCGTGGTGCTGCTGATGTGCTGCGGAGCCAGAGTGAAACAGGGCAGGAGGGGAATTTCCATCAGGAATTGCGTTGCGGAAGCCCTGGCGCCAGTGCGGGCTGAGGTGGGCGCCGAGTCCCAGTTGGGATCGGCTGGCACGCGATCCGAACCGTGAGTCGAGAGACTCACGCTGAGTAATGCGCTCGCACCTCATGGCTTTATGTCCCTAATGGAATGCACACTATAGCCTGTAAATCTTCCGGTCGTAACTCACAGCTGGCGACGCCGGAAAATCCGAGCTCACGGCTTTAAAACCATGAATTACGGAGCTTGGCTGTGTGGCTTTTATTAGCCAGGCTCTCCCAATGATCTAAACGTGCTGGTCACTCCATAGGCTTTGTCTGCTGCTGTAAAGCGAGAATACAGGTCGAGTGCCGCATGAAGCACAGAAACCCAAGAGTGACTTCATCCTCTAATAACTCCTCCAGTGCAGTCTCCCAGGGAACCCCTTTGTATTCAATTAGCTAATGTGTGCCTAGCACTTTGAAAATATAGAGTGCCATAGAATTGCTAAGTGTTGTTATTTAACAGCACGTATTTAGTGGTTGCAGCCCTGTAGTAGAAGTCAGAAAATCTACACTGTAATTGCCTGGTGCTGCCGCAGAATTTGCTGTGATTTGAGCAAAGCCTGGGGATTTTTCTTCTGTAAAAGTTCATTAGTTTTGGCTGCAGACCCTCAGGGCCTACTACTTCTGAGATCTCATGAAACTGAATATTGACTTTTGGTGGTTGTTTTAAAAAACAGACTGAGAAGAGGAGGAAGGATTCAAGCAGCCAGGATCGGTGTAGCTGAAATTAGCCTTGGCATGGTTTTTGATGGTCTTCTCTGTGCCTGGGGTTGTGCTGGCTGGCATAAAGGAGCTGGACTGAGACAGAGGGCAAAGTGCCGGTCAAGTATTGCAATTGTTCTAGTGTAAAGAGGAAAAATCGTTGGCAGTGGAGTAGGAGGTAGTGAGGGAGAGGCTGTTTGCACCCACCTCTTTGATTCGCACCCTCTTGCATTCACCAGGTCCCCTGATCTTGCCTGGATGCATGTGGTTATTTGCACAGGCGGAGGAGGCTAGGACAAGGCGCACCAGGGCTTGGAGTCTCCCATTAAATAGAATCTCCTGACAAGTGTGAGTTATTTTCCTAATGGCTCCTTGCTCTTATTGCGTTGGAAAGCTATCTTCCAGCCTGCAAAAGCACCAGCCAGCACTGCAGATAAGGAAGAGTGACTATGAGAGGAGAGTGGTGGCTGTGAAACCATTCTGTGTAAGGCAAGGTCGGGTACATGTACCATGGTTGTGCTCGGCCTGTTTAAAATTCTTCCTAGCTTAGGCAAAAGTCAGCTTCAGTACATCTCCATGAGAAATCCTGGGATCTGACACTGAATCCCCGTGCACCCACAGCAGAGCTGTTCACGTGTCTGAGCCTCGCTCCTCGAATCTGAACAGTCCTCCTCTACCTCAGTCTGATCTTTGGCAAGGTAAACGTGTTAACGCTTACACACAAATGCATAGAGAGAGGAGCCATCTGAGATCATCCACCCCTTTTTCTGACCGCGCTTACCTCTTGCAGGAGGTAGGACCGGGGCTGGCGGATGGGGCGTCGAGCTCTGGAAATCAGCTGAGTGGCACGGGCCTTGAATTGGAAATGAGTTTGTGTTTGCAAAACGCGGGTTTGGAAATGTCAAGCGTGGTGAATGACCGTGTAGGAAAGGAAGAAAAACAACAAACAGGGACAGAAGCTGAGCCGGCAGCTACTGGAGTATCCAGATGCTCTCACCCCTTTGCCCTCCGTAGCAAGCATGGCCTTACCAAATCTCTCTTATCCCATTGCAAATGAAGTGTGTCCCCCAAGGACAGTTTATCTCCATCTCGCTGCACAGGCGGCTCATGGCTCATTTGCTCGTTTCTGACCTGGGCCTGCAGAATGCTCTTGTGCACGTCTGATGGAAAAACATTTAAAGACAGAGGGTTGGAGCTGGAGCAGAGGGAAAGGTCAGGGAGCAGTGCAGGGAGAGGGTCACGTACAGGCTACGCGGTCCCTGTGTGTTACAGAGGTGGATGCTTTATGAGCGTGACAGCAACAGAAATGGGGTTTTTTGCAGCTAGAGCCTTGCCTAGAAATAGATGGGTGCAGGGAGCGTTGGCTGGAGAAGGAGACCAAAGCTTGCACTGACCAGCCATCACTAATGGGAGCTGGGAAAAAAAGCTGCTGTTAACATTTGAACCGGAGCAAATTGTTGGCTCCAGGGGAAGCGTGTCCAGATCTGCCCTGGCAGCTGCCTCCGGCATCAGCAGGGCATGGGAATTTCCCTTGGGAATGGGGCTGATGTGGGTGGGGGTCCTTCCCGAAAGCTGGGAGTGCAGGGAGCCGAGCTGCGGATGGGACTGACCCCGTCACTCAGCCAGCACCAGCAGACTGTACCCATGGGTTCAGCCTTGCGACTGCTGCGTGGCCGGGGCACGGGACGCCTCTGCCTCAGTTTCCCCCATGTGGATTGAGGTCAGCGGGGCTCATTCCCTCACCCAGGAATTGCTAATTTAAGAAGCAGAGCGTAACAAACCTGCCAGGGCCTGAACAACCTCAAAATGTTTTCAGGAGAGAAAACGCATAACAAATAAAGGCACTCGTTTTATCAGCCTTGAGATTAAGGCGGTCTGGCCTGAGACTGAAGCCTTGGGCTTTATGGCTGTTTTGGTACAAGACGTCTCATTTTCCTTCTGCATGTAACGAAGCCAAGAGGGGAGGTGGGCAGCTGCTTGCGTTGTGCCCCGCACAATTCGCCTCCTGGCTCTGGCTGGGGGGAGGTTGTGTTTTGCAGGGGCTCAACATCTCTCCTGCTGCTCTGCTGCATCCAGGAGCTCCTCGGGCCCAGGTCCTCATTAGCCATCTGCCCTTGTTGCGCGGGCTGACAGGATGCCGTGGGTAAATGGATAACCTGTCAAGGAGGCAGGAGGATAATATCATTCAAATGAATCAATAGTTCGCAGGCAATTTCATGTTACCTACCGTTAATGCGGTTGTGTCCAAAATGCACTTAATCCTGTGTCTGATCACATTCTCATGGGAATTTGCCGTGCTGCAATAGTCTTGTAACTCCATGTTTCGGAGATTTACAGACATTGTTCCTACGTGCACACGTACGCAGGAAAGATTAAAAAAATGACTTGGCTCGCTGGGATGTCATAGCCCACAGAGCCAAAAGACATTCGTATTAGTGATGGAAGAGAATGGGCATCCAGCAGTTTCTGAAACTGTTACTCCCACCTTCTCACTCCATTTTAGCAATTAGCAAAAGAGAAATTAGTGAGGAAGGCACCATTATTTCCTGCTAATAGGACAAGGAGGGCTGGACTCTTCTCCAGGACACTGGCTTTGTTGTATAGCTCCTTCCATTGATGTGAGTAGTAAAATAGAGCTCTCCCTTGCTGCCTTTTTTTTTCCTTTTCTATACAGTCGTTTTCGTACATCTTACCACTTTGCTCTTCAGAAATGCAACAGGATGGGCCCCACACCAAAGCCCAAAGTCAAAGCACCTTCCCACCTCCACGGAGGCATTAGGATGTCCCATGATTGACATCTCCTTTCTGGTACCTGATGGCATGAAGGAGCAGGACAGGATTGCCCTGTGGGGAGGAGCTGATTGAATTTAACAGGTTAAACTTTGTGCCTGCTTTCTTCCCTAACCCTGTGTTCTGTTTTGGGCTGCTTTAGGAGTTTTCCCTGCAGCGCCTGGACAGCCTGCTGGACGACCGAGTCAACATCCTGGGATTTTCCATTTTCAACCAGTCTCACGCTTTCTTCCAAGAGTTTGTCCAGAGCCTCAACCAGTCCTGGCAGGAGAACTGCGATCACGCTCCTTTTACTGGGCCAGCAGTAAGTAAAGCGTATTTCTGCCATTGTATCAGAGTCTGGAAGATGGGTTCAGGTCTCTTTCTGGTTCACTCTATGTTCGTAGCAAGGCTCCCATCAACCAGTATTCCATGTGATGAGAAAAGGGACCTGCCCTGCGTGATGAGGATACAGAGTAGAGATGAAGTGCAGTATTCCTAGGCAGAGCATGTGTTTCTCTCTTGCATCTGCAGGGGCAATCCAGTCCCATTTTGCTGTGCATTGTCTCTGCTGTTGGAAATCTGGCACGTCTCATCTCCCAGAGAGCATCTCTCTGTGTAAGAACTTCCCTTCTTAGTCCTGGGAAGCAGATATCTTGTAGGACAGCTCCTACTAAAAAGAGAAAAGGAAGCTCAACAGCTGGAAGTGACAGGAGGGAGGTTTCCTGTGAGCTGCAAAACCCCAGGGTTTTCTTGCTAAAGCTGAGAAAGCGTCTGAGGAAGGAGGAGGGAGCTGCTTGCTCTAATGCCATTCTCATTAATCACATTGCAAAGAAAGGAAATCAGAGAAAATCATTCAAATTACAGATGGCTAGATTAGGTAATTAGAATTTAGGCTAAAACAGATGTTTGTAATTAAGTGTTTATGTCATTGAATAAAATCCAGATTGTAAAGTCTATTTCACAGGATTTTAATGGTTTTAATTCTCTGTGTTGTGTTTGGGGGCAAAGATACAGATGATAATATTTTAGGAAGAAAATAAAAACCCACCACATGGCAAAACCCCAGTCTAGCCAAACCTGTTCATATTTCCCTAGATTTCAGTTCACCTTTAAACGTGGCTTTTATGCGTGAGATTTCCATAAACAGAAAATAAAGTGGGATTTTCCACTGAAATATGCTTAACCCTGCTGTTAGTTTCCAGAGGAGCATAGAGCAAATGTGAGTCTGTACCAAGGTGGGAAAGTGAGGGGTTACTGGTGCCATGAGACTGCTGTTTGGGGTTTTGCTAGCATTAGGTTGGTATTACACCTTTTAAATGTGCTGGCTTATACCTTTGAAGGTTTTTACTGCTTGTTAACTGCCTAATCCTGGGCTGTCGTGGTCAATGAGGTCTTACAGTGATCTGAGCAAGATCAAGCAGGGTTAAGTCTGGCCCACTCTGTTCCAATGAGTAACGCGGTTGAAGCCAAAGGTTCGTTGGGGTGATTGAACCGGGTGAGACTGTCCCTGCAGGGCAGGAGTGAATAAACCCAATCAGGCTTTGGGAGGAATAGGGGATGTGGGTACTGCTGAATGCCATAAGTCACATACAGGGCAAGGTGGGGGCAAGGAGCCCCAGGTTAGAGACTGAACCCATTGCAGGGAGCTGGGATGGTAAGATGATGTTTTCAGACGTGGCCATGAGGAAAATGTAGCCTGGATAGTAATGAGCTGCAATGGCTTAATTCCAGCAGGGTCAGGAGGTGACAGTAATTAAAAGTGAAATCTTAGTCACAACAGTGAACGCAAGAGAGCAAATGGCTGATTATTAACTAGATCAAAACCACTGAAATGGTTGTGCATGGGTGGAAAACATGGTGGGTGAGGCTTGGTGGACAAAGAAACCTGATTAAAGGCAAACAAAGCAAAGATGAGAAGGAGAGGAGGTGAGCTCTGTTTCTGGTCGTTGCTCAGCAGTGCCTTTACAGAGCAGGAAGCTGGAGGCTGTAGCAAGGGACTGGGTGCTCTCTGTGGGGTCTGAAAGCCAAGGCTCGGTGGTTTGAGAAGCAGATCTAGCAAAACCTCATTCCTCATGGATCTGCCTTTCATAGCAGTGGTCAAAGGAGGAGACTCTGGTGCCTAGTGAAGGCTGAAGCAGCACAGTCACCTTTCCCTCAAGAAGAGAAGGAGAAATGTAGCAGACTGGGAGTGGGACTGGCAAAGGGGTTGCATTTGCCCCAGTGAGCACTTTGCTGCTTGCTGCAAGGTCCTGATTTTTGTCTCCCCATCTCGATTTTCCCCTCCCTTTCCCCCCCAGCTCTCCTCCGCGCTGCTGTTTGACGCCGTGTACGCTGTGGTGACGGCCGTGCAGGAGCTGAACCGGAGCCAGGAGATCGGCGTGAAGCCCCTGTCCTGTGGGTCTGCCCAGATCTGGCAGCACGGCACCAGCCTGATGAACTACCTGAGAATGGTGAGGAGGGACTGAAGTTTGCTGGGGCTTTAGGAGCTGGTGCTCGTCGCTGCTGGAAGCAAAGGACGTGCATGTACATGCTGGTGCTGGCACAGCGCTCAAACGCAGAGTGCCGGCCTGTTTGAAGGTAGCACTGGGAATAAAAAGAGAGGAGATCTGAGGGCTGGTTTGTCAGTGGCCTTGGAACGACATGAAACTCTCCGTTTTTCAGGCTTTGCTGTAGAAAAACTGGAATTCGGTCATTATTTTTTTTTTAAAGTATCAATGTTTCTAAGTGATTTGAGCTCTGTTTTGAGGGAACCTGAGTTGACATAAGGTCATGCAATACAATTGCCTGGAGCTCAGTGGCAAGAAGTGAGTGTCCCTGCGAAGGGGTTTGGGCTCCTTTGAAACCAAGCGTGGTTGCTGGAACCGATCAAGCCCAGTTCTGGCATGAGAACAGATCCTGAAATTTCAGCCTTGAGAAATAGCTAGAGTTTGTCAGCATGATTCCTCGGAGCTGAGCTTGACCATGCCGAAGCAGCATGTTTTCTGTCTGTTTGGGGTGCAACTGAAATGCCATGAGATTTATTTTTCCCCAAAAAGAGGGGCAAAGGTGCTGCTTTGGTCCATGGATGTGAGCCCCTGCTTTAAATCTTGCCTTGATGGGCGCTGTAACTCATTCTCTCTTGGACAGGTAGAATTGGAAGGTCTCACCGGCCACATCGAATTCAACAGCAAAGGCCAGCGGTCCAACTACGCCCTGAAAATCCTGCAGCACACCCGCAGCGGCTTCCGGCAGGTGAGGGCGGCCACGTTGTTGGGGACAGTGCCTGGGGATGGTCTCTGTGTGGCTCGGGTGGCTGCTGCAGAGGCCGAGGGGGGCTGTAGACACCCTGCTTTGCGAGATGAGG